TCTGACAGAGACCCCCCCCCCCTCCCCGAACCTATAACACCTGTTGTTTACCTTGAAGGGCTGGTCTTGATGAAGGGGAAGAAAGGCAGGGCTCTGTCCATGTCCCCCCACGCCCCCCCCACACAGCTCTCCTCAGGACCTGTCTGTCCCTGAAGCGTACGCACAGCTCCAGGGCCACGTCGGGGGGGGGCTCCCCGGCTGCCCCGCGCCCACACGTCAGAGCTACATAAACCTGAAGGAGGAGCAAAGACCAGCGGAAACCATGACGACACTCACTGATTATAAATCATCATATTCTTTAATAAGGTCATTAAAGCTTTCAGGTAAATGTTTTCATTAAAGGAGCAGTATGTAACTCTGACACCTAGTGTTTAAAATGTGTACTGCAGTCCAGATTCTAAACATCATATAGAGCTGTCCCCCCCCCCCCTCACTCAGGTCACCATGTGGTGGACTCTGAAGCTTCAGTGTTTATCCAGCTCTGCATGGGTCTGTAAACCTTTCTGTGTTCTAACCTCTCTCCATTTTTCAAAAGCATCTCCAATATTGATCCTAGTTTGAGTTCATTTGGAGGAATGCAAAGACAAAAATAAAAAGGAAAGATTATCGATATGATCGATCCTGAGCGGAGGAGGAAAGAAAACGTAATGTAACAGGAAATTGTTTTCACCTGTCAGGACGGGATGCGACCACGCCCACTAGCACCACCTTCTTCCCCGGACACATCCCACCGCTGATGTGACCTCTGAAGGGAACCGCCTACACACACACACACACACACACACACACACACACACACACACACAACACACACACACACACACACACACACACACACACACACACACACACACACACACACACACACACACACACAGTTTCATTGTTAAAAACAAAAATAAAAATATGACAACATATTTTGTTTTGTTTTGAAAATCAAACTACGGTGGCCTGTGAGGGTCAACGCTTGGACTTACTTAAGAGAAAAACTTTCCACACATGCACCAAAGATGCAAATTCAAAAGTCCAGAACAAAATAAACGACTGAATCTCGCTCGAAAAAGATGCTGCAAACAGCTGCAACATCCGTGTTAACTTCCCTCTCAGAGCGCCCCCTACAGGCCTGGAGCACTTCTGTTCAGGACAGACGGCTTTGCAACATTGTTTTCTGAATTTGTCTGTTTTTGAATCGTTTATGAATCTGCAGCAGGTTTCCAGGTGTTTCATCTTTTTTGCAGCGTAATTCAGTCGTCTTAGTTTTCTGGACTTCTGCACGTGATTCTGAATTTGCTGAACATTTTTTCTTGATGTAAGTTGATAAGTCTTTTGGCTGTGTTTTTAGTTTTCACTTCAGTGTTTTAATCTGAGAAATGTTTATTCTTCAGCGTTATCGTCTGTTCTCGTCTTTGTGATTTCAGGGGAAATGTTACCAGACTTCTGTGAGCGTCTCTCTCCGAGCCTCTGTTTCCTTCAGTCGCCGGTCTTTGAGGGAAAACCCATTTCTGAAAGAGGAAACACAAAGTGAGTCAACTTGATCTCTAACCTGCACAAAATGAAGCTGTCAGCTGATTCAGTTTGGGGCGCCGGCAGCCTTGAGAGGGCCATAGTCCTTAAAGCGGACGGCCCTGGTTTGAATCCGACCTTTGGATTGCCACATGTCATTCCCCGCTCTCTCTCTTTAAGACTTCTGACTCTATCCACTGTCCTGGAACGTTTTCTGTCTTTGTTTAAATGAGCGAGGAGGAGGGAGTTTTCTATTGTAAATAAAAACAATAACATCTTTCAAAGTAAACCCACAGCGTGACGTCACATGACCTGTCATCAGCACCACGTGATGCGTCAGAAGAACGAAAATCAATGAGCCTTCAAAATAAAAGCACCGGGAATTCATAGAATGTGAAAAATGTTCACACAGATCGTTGTTGATTCTCTATTTTTATTTTAAACTTCCTCTTCACAGAGTTCATTATTTTATTGTTTCAATTCTTCTTCTACGACCATGAACAAGGAAAACATCAGTAGACTCGTGCACACACAACACACACACACACACACACACACACACACACACACACACACACACACACACACACACACACACACACACACACACACACACACACACACACACACACACACACACCGAAACCGGAAACAGAAGAGCGTTTTTGTGAGTAAACAAACACACACACACACACACTGTATCTGTTGTTGCTGCAGCGTACAGATGAAGTCAGCTTTATTTTGTTAAACAAACAGGAAGTGCTGTTGTTTCACTGAAAGTTGAAAAAAAAGTTTTCGGCCCAAAGTTTTCCTGACATGTCGAGCTGAAACGTTTATCAGACGGATCAGGTTCCCCCCTCTCTGGTTAATAACCTATCTGTAACCTGCCCGCTCAGGTGTGTGTGTGTGTGTGTGTGTGTGTGTGTGTGTGTGTGTGTTGTGTGTGTGTGTGTGTGTGTGTGTGTGTGTGTGTG